CGCCAGAAAAGGCCCCTAGATGGGATCTTATGGGTACAGAAGGTTGCAGCGGTGGAGACATGTTTTTGTGCCCCCCCTGATGGTTTGGGGGTATAAGAGTATATATGGGGGAAAGAATTAGGCCAGGAGACCCACAAGGGGCCCACAAGACAGGGGTTGCGCCCTACCCCCTGGGCGCGCCTCCACCCTTGTGGCCGCCTCGTGGCTCCTCTGACTTCATTTCTAAGTCTCCTGGTTTGCTTCTGGTCCAAGAAATATCATCACGAAAGTTTTATTCCGTTTGGACTCCGTTTGGTATTCCTTTTATACGAAACTCAAAAACAGGCAAAAAACAGAAACTGGCACTGGGCTCTAGGTTAATAGGTTAGTCCCAAAAATAATATAAAATAGCATATTAATGCATATAAAACATCCAAAACAGATAATATAATAGCATGGCACAATAAACAATTATACACACGTTGGAGATGTATCAAGCATCCCCAAGCCTAATTTCCGCTCGTCCTCGAGTAGGTAAATGATAAAAACAGAATTTTTGATGTGGAATGCTACCTAACATATTTATCCATGTAATTATCTTTATTGTGGCATGAATGTTCAGATCCATAAGATTCAAAACAAAAGTTTAATATTGACATAAAAATAATAATACTTCAAGCATACTAACAAGGTAATTATGTCTTCTCAAAATAACATGGCCAAATAAAGCTTATCCATACAAAATCATATATTCTGGCCATGCTCCATCTTCATCACACAAAATATTCAAATCATGAACAACCTCGATGACAAGCCAAGCAATTGTTTTATACTTTTGATGTTCTCAAACTTTTTCAACTTTCACGCAATACATGGGCGTGAGCCATGGACATAGCACTATAGGTTGAATAGAATGGTGGTTGTGGAGAAGACAAAAGGAGGGAGATAGTCTCACATCAACTAGGTGTATCAACGGGCTATGGAGATGCCCATCAATAGATATCAATGTGAGTGAGTAGGGATTGCCATACAACGGATGCTCTAGAGCTCTAATTTTATGAAATTCAAAAAGAAAAACTAAGTGGGTGTGCATCCAACTTGCTTGCTCATGAAGACCTAGGGCGATTTGAGGAAGCCCATCGTTGGAATATACAAGCCAAGTTCTATAATGAAAAATTCCCACTAGTATATGAAAGTGACAAAATAAGAGACTCTCTATCATGAAGATCATGGTGCTACTTTGAAGCACAAGTGTGGTAAAAGGATAGTAACATTACTCCTTCTCTCTTTTTCTCTCATTTTTTCCCTTTTTTCATTTTTTCCTTGGCTTCTTTGGCCTCTTTTTTTATTTGGCCTTTTTTTTATTTTTCCTCACATGGGACAATGCTCTAATAATGATCACCACACTTCTATTTACTTACAACTCGATACTTAGAACAAAAACATGACTCTATGTGGATGCCTCCGGCGTTGTACCGGGATGTGCAATGAATCAAGAGTGACATGTATGAAAGAATTATGAAAGGTGGCTTTGCCACAAATACAATGTCAACTACATGATCATGCAAAACAATATGACAATGACGAAACGTGTCATAATAAACGGAACGGTGGAAAGTTGCATGTCAATATATCTCGGAATGGCTATGAAAATGCCATAATAGGTAGATATGGTGGCTGTTTTGAGGAAGGTATATGGTGGGTGTATGGTACACTTGTCTACGACCAGCAGTGTCGGATCCCTTTGTGTTCCCCATGTCCGGCAGCCCGCTAACCGGACTGCCGGGAGTCCCGGAGGCATATTATTCCCAAGTATCTTTCCTATGTCTGGCTGTGCCGCTCGTCAGAGTGGCAAGGATGGTGCTTTAGCCGGAGGGGAATGTTGCTTCCGTGGAGCTCAAACGAGTGCCCAAGATGGTCTGAGATAAAGAAGAACCAGACAGGTCGCCGCCGATGGCCTTCCTGGGACCCAAGCAGCGGTGGCCTCCCGTGTTCTACTTCTCCTCGATGATGGCGGTAGGGGCGGATGTGCCAGTTGCCACCTCGTCGACATCCACGCAGCCGGCTTCTTTCTCTGCCTCAATGGCGCAGCTACGCGCGCGTTGACGGTGGATGGCGGAGTCACATTCACTAGAGGCGCGCGTGACACGACGCGATGCATCGATGGCAATGACGGTGCCCGTGCCGCCATGCTCCTTGACGTGCTGGCCTAGAGCAACTCGCCACTACTGCGCGAGCTGGTTTGGAGCAGCGAGTTGCTAAACCACACGCGGGCTTGGGGCGGCAACATGCTCCGTCGGGCTAGGTGAGGGAGGTGGAGCAGCGAGCTACCTCGCTCATATCCGCAGGGCTCGGCGCGCCACCCAACCGACTTTTATGCCGGAGAACCGCTCTTCCCGCTCGTCAAATGCCATCGAAAGAATGGAGAAAGTAGTGGATGGAGGAGAAGAGGAGCAGCGAAGTGGTGCAGTTCTTGTCTGGCGTCGGGCCTCGTTTAAATAGAGGGCAGAAGGGAAGAGCTTGTCGGCGTTGCGTTTAATGCCCCCCCCCCTCGTAAATGGACGTGTGGCCGGAGTAGGTTTCTCGGCTTGCACGCGGATTTAATGCCGGCGTTTGAAGGCGCCGAGGAGGCGTGTTCAGCCGGGCGGGCGGCGGGCGGCGCCCTCGGCTGGCGCGCTGCTTCAGTGGCGAAGGCAGTGAGAGGTTGCATCCGCCCTGGACCGCCTTCAATGTGAAGCGGCGCGCTCTGCAGTGGCATGAATGCGGGCAACTGGTGACGGGCGGGAATGGCAGTCAGAAGCGGGCGTGATAGCGGTCCGGACTCCGGTAAATCTTCCCACATTTGTCTCCGGTTTGCGGGAGAAAACACGTCTGGACCGCGCCGCTAACCGATACATGACCGCATTGGATGGCTTCCGCGGTCCAAACAACGTTATTGGGACGGTTGCTTTTTTTTTTTTGAGTAACATCCGGACGGTTGCTTATATAGGTTTAAACAACCTATAAGCAACATAGGCTTAAACAACGGATGTCACGTTAGCCTAGGCCCGGCCCATCCTTCCAAAAGGCCCGTTAAACCACGTAGCCTCGAAACCCTCGTCGCTTTGACTTGACTCCCACCAGACACCGGCAAACCCTCCCCCTCAAAAAACTTCCCGTGGAAGAAAAAACATTCTAGTAGTACGATTTTTTGTGGGAATCATAGATGGCTTGACTCAAGACAGCTCCCCTGCCCACGCGCTCCCCTGCGTTTGCCTGCCACTCGTTATCCTCCGCCGCCGACCTCTCGCCGTCCGACGCATCCCGCAGCGGTCTTCGTCGGGCTCGGGATTCACTGAGGTCGACGGCGCCCAGGTGCAGGTGCTTGCGGCCATCCCCTCGTCGGAGCTCGGCGAGCTTCCCTCAGCCCGAGTGTGACGCTTCGCTCCGTCCCTGCTCCGTTCCTCCGTGGATCCAAGATAAGTTTGAGGTGAGATCCACGACTCACATCACACGCTTCTCCATTTCTGACACCTACCTACTACAGAGCACCTCTGTTTTTCTGGCATATTTCAGTTCAGTTCAGTTCAGACAGCAGTGAACCCCCTCCTTCAATCAGCAGACACAAGCACAGGGACCATCTTCCCTGCTATCCTTCACAGGGACCGGCGCATCTCCGCCGACCAAGCACCAATCATCTACACTATCTTTGGGTGGGAACGGAGCAGCAGGTACGTATCACCATCGAAAAGTCTGCGCGTACTCAAACTTTGTTAAGCAAAATCGATAAAACTTGCCATTCTACAGGGCCTAGGAAATACACGTTCAGATTCAGCCAGCAAACTTGCAATCGTTAATAGAATGGCACCACAAATACTCACACGTTTTCAGGTTCACCCAAAACTGGCAAGCAGCAAGGAAAAGAGCTACACACCTAATCACTAGTGAACTACAGGGTCACCCACTCAACTTTTCAGTTCAGGTATAAGTGAGAGATTACAGCACACCAACCACTTAATTTTTGATGGCAACTTAGCTTTGCACAAACTCATCAGATATCTGCTAGTCCACACCTCACACAAATACTTGTAATGGAATCTAATACTCCCATGGTCTTGCAGATGCCAATGGGTTTTACGGCTCATAGCTAGAAATATGGGCTGAATGCTGAAACTGCCTGTCTATGCACTCAATTGCTGTATTGATTTCCACCATCTCTCACCGACTGTAAAAAATCCCACCTCTCAGCAAGAGCTCAAGTCTCAACACCTAGTGTAAGTGAACCTTTCATCCATTTTGTGGGGAAAACTAGTGTTTGCTTCTCCCTCCGTCCCAAAATAAGTGTCGCGGATTTAGTACTTAGTTAGTACTGCCTCTTTCCCAAAATGTAAGGTGCGCTTGACTTTGCACGGTCTTTGATGGACAACTTTGATCATTAATATATACCAAAGTATATGTATTTAACATTTATAAATGGTAATTTGTAGACATACAAATGAGTGAAAATTATAGTCAAAGTTGTATGATGAAGACTGAAATAATTGAACCGAGCCTTATATTTTGGGAAGGAGGAGTACTTACTAGTGACTAATGCAAGCACAACCCTCCTCTCCCTGTGTGCAACAACATCTCAAACAGGCACATTTTTCAGCATAGCATTGGTCACGCACTTATCAGCAGCATCTCAAACAGAGACTGGACATTTTATAGTACTCAAGTTGTTTGAAGTCTGTTGGTAATGAATGTTAAATTTCTCTCCAGCATATATCTTCTCTAGTTTGATGTACTTCTACATAGTATGTTGTTGTGGGAAATATGCAACTATGTATGTAGAGAGTAAATCAGGGTAATTGGCAACTTCGCTTCTGTTATTTTTTTTTTCTTTTACAAAATTTGCGTCGACAGTAGAGGATTTAACCCCTTGATTCCCTGTCTTCAATGTTCAGGTCTTTAGGCTGGAAATACTTTATTGATGAAAGTGGCTTACTCTTCAGTGCTGTGTATATATATTGTTGGCACAGAACTGAGCTTCTCGAAATATCATGAGTGGGAATCTCGTCCTGTTCCAGGACAGAACAAAGCATGCAGTATACATTAACAAGAATTTAAAAGATTTCACAGAAGATGCTATTGAAAGAATTACTAGCAACTACAGCATTCCTATCGGAAAAGGTGGTTTTGGAGAAGTCTTTAAAGGAGTCCTTGATGATGAGCTAGTTGCTGTGAAGAGATATATCCGCCAAGAGTTGAGAGAAGAGTTTATGGATGAAGTAAGCATCCATAGTCAAATGAGCCACAGGAATGTGGTGAATCTCATTGGCTATTGTATTGGGGAAAATACCCTAACAATGGTAACTGAGTTTATCTCCAAAGGAAACCTCGATGACATACTCCACAACAGTAGTACTTCCATCCCTTTGGATATAAGATTGGGTATTGCTATAGGCTGTGCAGAAGCATTGAGCTACATGCATTCGATGCATTTATCAGGTGACAACCTTGTATGTCATGGCGATATTAAACCTGCCAACATACTTCTAGATGCCAATCTTACAGCAAAAGTATCAGATTTTGGACTGTCGAGGCTTCTTTTAGGAGGCATCACTCAATACACTAGGAATGTAAAAGGAAGTATAGATTACATGGATCCTATATATCTTCGAGAGGGACGTCTTACCCCAAAGAGTGATGTATATAGTTTTGGAGCTGTGCTCTTGGAATTAATAGCTAGGAAAAGGGTAAAAGAGGGTAGCTGTAGCCTCATATCGACTTTCAGTAATGCCCGTGGTAAAGGTGAATGGTCGAGGGACCTTTTTGACAGAGAAATAATTAGTGCAGGCAATATAAAGATTCTTGAGGAAATAGGAAAACTGGCAACTGAATGCCTGACATTGGACATTCATAAACGTCCCAGAATTACTGATGTGGCTAAACGCCTTTTATTGCTGTGGAGACAAGAAAAACGGGAGTTCTTTTTTAGAACAGAAAGTGTTGGCACAAGCAACTTAATGAGATGTTTGGGCAGTTTTGAGATGGATGTTGCCAATTCTGAGATACTAGCAAAGCTTGGCAACATGCGATTTTTCACTGAGAAGCAGGTAATTGAAGTCACACGGAACTTCTCATGTCTATGTAGTGAAGGTTGGTTAGCTGAGGTCTACAAAGGCACTCTAGAGGATAACACAGTGGTGGCAGTAAAGAAATCTGTTGATGCATATGAGGAGCATATAATTCATTTTGTCAATGGAGTGATGATCCATGCTCAACTCATCCACACGAATATCATCAAACTGTTCGGCGTCTGCTTGGAGGTTGGTATTCCAATTTTCCTATATGAGTATGCTGCTGAAGGCAATCTTTCAGACCTCCTGAATGGTAGCAAACATTTCCCCCTGGAATTGCGGCTGGAGATTGCAATCGGAACTGCAAAAGCATTAGCATACATGCACTCATCTGATTCTGGTTGCATCAGACATGGTAGTGTCAACCCTTCCAATATACTTCTAGATCATAACTTCTCGCCAAAGGTCTCAGGTTTTTCACTCTCAAGGGCGCTTACCATTGAGTACAATTATGATGACTCTGTAGTCGTTCAAAGGCACTACAGCGACCCAAGCTTCGTACAATGTGGGCTTCTTACAGTCAAAAGCGATGTGTACAGCTTCGGGATTATTCTCATGGAACTCATTAGCAGGAAGCTCTCAACATATGATGAAGATTGTGAACTAACAGACCTTGTTATCCTGTATAACAAAGCATATGATTCAGAGAAGAGAGGAGCGGCGATGTTTGATAAGGATATCACAGCCGATAAAGACATCATACTGCTTGAAGACATTGGGAAGCTAGCAATTGAGTGCACGAAACTGGGACCAGATCTTAGGCCAACAATGAAGGAGGTGGCAGAACGCCTCGAGATTCTTAGAGCATCTTGGGGCAAAGCTAGCCAAGGGAGGTAGTTGGATCTGGGGCTATGGCAAATGCCACTGGAAGGAGGACAACCCTGTTTAAAACATTTGTGCCGCTGAAGCTTCATGATTACCGCTCTCTGAGCTCAGCTCACAATTCTAATATTGTTTTGTTTTGTAGTGTTATGATTTATGTAATCTTGGTGGAGAAGCATCAAGCCTTTTGCTGTAATCTTGTCTGGATGTGTGTGAACAAAGTTTCAGAGAGCTGGAGAGAGGATGGCGCTCTCCTCTCGCGACCGAGCTGGCGACGCACCGGCCGCGACCTGCTCGCCTGCGCGGCCGTCTTCGCCGCCGTCTCCGTTGCCCTGCGCCACTCCGGTCGGCTCTGACGCACCCCTGCAGCCCGACGCCCCGCTGATTCCGGCCGCTGGGCCGCTCGCCCCATGCTCGGCCGCCCCTGTTGAGGAGGCGCTTCCGCTGCGCTGGGCAGACTTGGCGGAGGACGAGGACTCCACCGCTGGCCGTCCCACAGTCCGGCGCACACCTCCGGCCCGCCGGACTGTGCTGCGCCCGATGCTGGTCGACGTGCCATGCCGGGGAGCCCCCTCCCCACCTCTTGCTCGCCGGCCTGCTGCACCCCCCCTCCTCCCGACGCCTGGCCAAAGGGCCGACCTTAGGTCGCGTACCGCTCGCCGCCGCCGCGCTCCGGCGTGGGGCATCGCGGGGCGGTCCGACCTGGGTCGGGCCCGGTCTTCTTGGCGCTCGGCGGCAGCCCCCCATGGGTCTCGGCCTCCCCCCTTCCCGGCGGCGTCTTCGCGGCCGGTGGTCACCCGCTCCTCGCCGTTTCGACCGTTCATCGCTGCCTTCGGCACCTCCTCTCTCCGTTTCTCACCCAACCACTCTCGTCGCCTTCCCATGGCCGCTGGAGCTCCTGCGCCGGCGTCGGTCGCGGCCGCGGCGGCGGTCGCAGCGCGAGGGGGAACCCTAGCCGCTGCTACCCCGCCCTGCGGGCTGGACCGACGGCTCATGGGCCGCTCTAGAGTTGGGCCGGGTGTTGGGCCTGGGGCCGGGGCTGGCCACTCCTTCAATGGGCCCAGCATCTGCTGTGACCCTAGTGGGCCGTCCTGCCCGGCCATTAGGCCGATTTGGTTGCCGTCGGGCTTCCCTCGCCCCCAATCCCACTCTGCTCCTGCCCTATCACTTGCTCCCCCGCCCCCCGCCGCCAACCCTTCGCTCCATCCCCCGTCGCTGCCGACCTCGCCGCCGGCCCCAATGACTCGCGAGTGGCACAACGCTGGGACGCGCCCCAAGCGCCGCACCAACGACCACCGCTCCGAGTCCTCCCGTGAGGAGGAGCGGCGCGACTCCTTCCGGCCATCCCCCGACGCGTTGCACCATGAATCCGAGCTCCGCCGCCAGCTCTCCTCCCGCGGTGCCCGCCGGACCCCCGACTATGACGACCACCGGTCCCCCTCACGCCGTTCTCCCCCTCGTGCGGACCGCCGGAACCGCTCCCGTTCACCTCCCCCTGCCGCGGACCGCCACGAGGGTCATCGTCGGTCACCCTCCCCTCCGCACCGTCGGGTGGCCAGCCGCTCCCCGGTCTGGGGCGGCCACGCTCGCTGCCCCGACCGCTCCTATGGGCAGCCGACCCCTCCTCCCGCGGCTACCGCGGTCCGCCGCTACGAGCCACCTCGGGGCGAGCCGAGCCTCCCCTCGACCGGCAATGGGGCGGGACGGGGCCGGCCCGGGGGCAAGCGCAAGAAGAAGCGTGGGATTGGGCGCGCAAACGGCCCAGCCCCGACTAACGGCGCTCCTCGGGATCCCGCCGCATCGACGACGTCCGCCCTTCTCCCCGACGACTGCTCCGCCGACCTTGTCAAGTGCTTCAACTGCGGACTCTCCGGCCACTCCCAGGTGGCTTGCACTCGTACGCAGTGCTGTTACCACTGCTCGGACCCAGACCACCCCGCTTTCCTTTGCCCGGACTGCCCGGTGGCGGAGGAGCTGATGATGTACGGGTACGGGATTGAGGGCCTCGGATACTTTCACGTCGAGGTGCCCGACATCCCCACCCCTTCTCCCTCGCTCCTGGCCATTGTTACAGTGAAGGATGGGGTGGCCTCGTCGGAGATGATCGAGGCCAGTTCAACCACCTCTACCTCTGCAACTGGGATTGGCAGGTCACCTTACTCTCTGGAGACCAGTTCTCGGTTGTCTTTCCGGACGTGGTCAGCCACGGATACGGCACCCGCAGCGGAGACATCACCCTAGCTCTCAACTCGCTAGTGGTTGACATCTCCGTGCCGGTGCGGGACCCCTTGGCGGTCGCGGTCTTGGACACGGCTTGGATCCTCATTGGTGGCCTCCCGGACATCGCTCGCTCCGAGCGGGTCATCCGGAACATGTCTCGCATCCTCGGCAAGGTGTTGGTGGTCGATGAGCTCTTCCTCCGCAAAGAGGAGGAGGTACGCGTTAAGGTCAAATCTCTCGACTCCTCCAAGCTTCGGGCCACCATCCGGGTGTTCTTTAACGACCAGGGCTTCAACCTCCGCATCTCCCCTGAGCCTCCCAACCATATTGGCCGCCCTCGCATCGACGACAGCTTCCCTGGGGGCGGCCCCGTTGGGGGTGGCACAGGGGGCCACCGCAGCGACCGCGACCCACGGCACGGCCACCACTCGGGCTCGGACGAGGACGACGACGACCTCGAGGACAGCCCCCACCACGACCAGCCGCCTGTGCCAGCCACCAGGGGTGGGGATGGGGCGCGTCGTACCCACTCGGCTGCCCCACCGTCCTCCGTTGATGGCCCCGACGCCTCTGATGTTAGTTTCCAGGTTTTTCCGGCTTCTTCGCCCCGCTCCCCAGACGATATATCCCCCGGCATCTTCACCTCCTCCCCGACCGGGGCCGAGCCGAAGCTGCCCGATCCGACCCCCACTGCGGCCGATCTCCAGTTGGTGCCGCTGGGGGGTTTGGCTTCGGACCCGGCTCCGTCTCTCCCGGGACCTTCGGAGGTCGCTCCTGGCTCCCTGGCCCGGCCGGCCAGCCCGCCCGTGGGGGTTGACGCGCCTGCGGACCCACCTCCCTCCCCTGGCGTCCCCTGCGTGACGTCTCCTGCTCCCCCCTTGGTGCCGTCGAGCTCTTCTCCTGCAGGCCTGGCAGTGGTGGTCACCACACCGGTGGCCGCTCCACCTCCTCCCCCTCGGGCTGCAAGGCGGGGCCGTTCGACCTCGTCCCCGGTGTCCTCCTCGCGCCGTAGTGCTCGGATTGAGGCGTCCAGGCCACTGGGTGGCCCGGCCCTACCCATCCCCGAGCTCG